TATCTCTATAGTTATGCTGCTATAGGCTTAGACTGCTGGAGGACATAGGGACCCCTTTTTCATCATTCTGCTTCATTCTATCTCTATTCTCCCACTTAGTTGGTATGTTACCGACTTGTTTTGTTTGTATGACCACCATTGTGGAAAACGACTTGTTAAGATGGACCAGAAAGAGGAGTGAGGTGCGCGAGAACGCTGGGACCCTTTGTCCACCTGGATCCCTGCTCTTTTTGGCCCTCAGTTCCCTCCGTTGTTGCACAAACTTGCTCCACTTCCTCACTGCCTCGGCCGTATCTAGACCCACAGCTAGTCCCTGATTGGCCCTCTGGCGTTGTGACGTGGAGTAACATAGCGCAGTAAATGTTTCGGCTTTGGAGTAAAACATAAATCTAGTCTTTTTTTAGTTTGATGTTTCCTTTTCTGTTAACATTATGCGATATAGTGCGTAATCTAAAGAACCAACTAAAATGCAGAAAAACACAGTTTAATCATATTTTGCCTGACTGCTATGAACATTTCCCATGATGACGTCAGAGAAGCAGTTTAATGGAGAAAATGTAAAGATATTTTAATGATGCTGATTGATAACAGTATTTGGGAAATGTATAATTATAAAAGTGATCTTACTGGAGGATATCCGGTATATCATAAAGAACAGTTTAGTCTATGAAGTTTTTATATGGCTTTTTCAGACCTGCGATTTATTTTTATTTTTTTTCTTGTTGACCTCTGATCCTCTTGTCGTCTATCAGATAATCTTTTATTTTACCGTTTATCTAATTGACTTCCATTCTCTTTTTTCTCCCAGTTTGCTCCCAGTTCTCCAAAGGCGTGTACGCCATCATCGGCCTCTATGACAGGAAGACAGTCAACATGCTGATGTCGTTCTGCGGAGCGCTTCATGTCTGCTTCGTCACGCCGTCCTTCCCCATCGAGACCGCTAACCAGTTTGTGATCCAGCTGAGGCCTGAGCTGCAGGACGCTCTGGTGGGAGTCATCGAGCACTATGGATGGACCAAGTTTGTCTACATGTACAGCTCTGACTCAGGTAGGGAATTTAACCACCACCACATTCAGGCTCTCATTGCTAATGCGGGATTGGTTGTAACACCTGTTCATATTATTCTCTGAAACGCTGTAGAGGCTACTGCCACATGTAACCATGGAAATGGAAACCACCTTTTCAGACACAGAGAATTTAGAAACTAGAGCCGTTTCTCAATTCAACATGAGTACGGACTCGTGTTCTCGCCAAGTTTGTTCTTGAGAAGAACACAGGAAAGTCTGGACTTGGAAAGAACCGGAACGTGCAGAATAAATCTGGGTCAATTGGAACAGAAGCGTACTGATGACATCACCACCTGCTCGGCTCATCTGGAGCTGCATTTCACCTCCTGCTATTAATAGTCTCTAGATAATAATAAATTATTACTTTTTTAATTTAGTGGGGGAATAATAATTAACACAGTCAGATAAACACAAATCAAATGAACATTTTGGCAAACAAAACATAAAAAAATCGCAAATCAGAGCCAGCGGTCCTTCACACGCAGCTATGCAGAGAGAGGGCCACTGCAGACGGGCTGCGGTTAGCCCTTGCTGCCATTAGCTGTGGAGCTCCGCTGGTGCCGCGGTCCTCTCAACTTAGGAAATATTTTTTTTTATCCCGCATTAAATCGGTTAATGGGCCATATAGTGACTCTTTAAAGCAGGAGTCCCCATCCTTTTTTAAACTGAGAGCTACTTCATTGGTACCGTTTCACGTGAAGGAGCTACC